ATAAAAGCTAGAATTTTAAGTTTCCCTTATTTATTTCTTGTACATTTCTTTGCCAGTCCCTATAATCTTTACGATCAAACAGAAGGCTTCTTACTACTAGAAAACCGTGATTACAACATGGATCATTAAGGGCCACAATAAAAGCTAGAATTTTAAGTTTCCCCTATTTATTTATTGTCCGTTTCTTTGCCAGTCCCTATAATCTTTACCACCAAACAGAAGGCTTCTTATTCTTATGACCTGGAATTCTAATCGTAGCAAATTGAGATGCAGCTCTATTACATTTCTCAAGTGAAGTAGGTATTCAAACTAAAATCACATACCATGACTACCAATAGGTTCCTTGATTCAACCACGGCGGCCACATTTTGTCCAAACTTGAACAGGCTAGAACCACCCAAATAAAGAATTTCAAATGTAATAAAATATATAATGATTCTTTCATCATCTTAGGACCCTTGAAATCAAATATATAATGATTCTATCTTACCTTGAACCATCTTGCATCCTCTGGGTTATGAAACATATACCTTACAAAGGCTTTTAATTTTGACACTTGTTGGAGATAACTGTATCGAAATATAACAAAGGCATATGACTCAATTGTACAAGATATCTAATAAAATGTGGTCATGTTAAAAGAAAAAAAGGCAAAGTAGAGAATTTCTATATCATATAAGATCACCATGATTAAACAATTGTGCAAGATAAAAAGTAAAAGATTATACCCAGTTAAGATAATCTTCTTTAGAATTATTCTATCCAGGTCGATATTTTTCATGGATCCAACTGCTGCCCCTGCAGGTACGTTGGCTTCTCCTGAAGCCTTCAGGGCTATCAAAGGAAGAGATGGAAAAGAAATAGGAGCATATATTGAAGCCATGGAAAAACGACCTGTATGAAGAAATTTTTCCATCTTATTTTTGTCTAAATTAAAGTTGTCAGTAGAAAATACTGGCCTGCAAGCAACAGAGAATGCTCACAAAACTTCAATATGAAATCATAGAGCCCAAACTAAGCCTTAAGGAGCAAATAAATCCTTGTTACCTAGAAAGAAACTGGCGGAAGCCAACATGAAATATCAGTTCTTCTTTGCTCTTGATAGGGCCATCATAACTATCATGCTTCTTTATACTGCAATCAGTAATAGTATCATATTATGAAAGAAAAAGACACTCAAGAAATTTATACTTACTAATTAAGAAGCAGAAAAGGACAGATTAAGAAAATTTTGTGATTAGATACCTGAAATGAAGGACAGACATCTTTGATTCATGTTGCAAATGGCCACATGACACAATGGGTATTGTCCTAGCAAGCAGACAAAGCTTGGAAGCAACAGAAATAGGCACTTCCTTAATATGAAGCCTCACATATGAACCAGGAGGTGCACAGTCATCTCCTTCCTCCATTTCTAAGGCATTTGCAATCACATGCTTTTGTGTTCTTGAGAAGTTATCAAAAGCAAAAATTCGGGCATATTCTGGAGGTAGAGATTCCTGATAATTATCAAGAGAACTTTTAACAGAGTGCCCTTGGTGATGAAGAAATATATATAATACTAGTACAGATGTCATGATTACATTACCTTGGGGTCCCATGAGGAAGTTCTGAATGATTTGAGGCCCCTACACTTGGCAAAGCGCTTTCTAGCAGGAACATCTAAAGGAGTGTCCACTTCATCTGGAAATTCTGAAACATAAATTTTAAGAGCTAGCAATTAATTATCAAAGGATTTTATTTTTGGCCAGAAATATATTGGCAATGGATAAGCACCTAAAATATATAGGTAAAAGGAAAAGGTTGGTTCTACCATACTGACTTAATGATCTAAAAATAATGAAGAGAAAAGGCCGGTGTTTTTGTGTAAAAACAAGATTGAATTAATTTTTCTTTTCTTCCAATGTTACTTTAGGGCTTCGCAATGCTGCAGATGCCAGTAAATGGACCAAATCAATCCATCATGGATTCTAACATGCCAACTTCCAGCAACAACTAAATCTATGTAAGATTATACACTTGCTAAAAAAGTTGATAACAAATAAAGTCTTTTTTTTTTTGCCAGGATAACAAATAAATTGATAATCCATGAAATTGTACAATGTCTTAAATAGAGAGATACCCTCATCTTCAGCATGTGCCTGTTTAATTTTTTGAATGTCTTGCTCTAATTGTTCCCTTGTCAGGTTCTCTCCTTCCTGTATGGAAAAAGAAAAGTTTACATGCAGACATCTAAAAAATATACTTATTATGTCATGCATTGTGGAGTGCTTTTTGAAAGCTGGGAGATTACATATTGTTTATTTCTTCAAACAAACAAGATAAAATAATAAGAAAAACAAGAGAAAACAAAAGGGCAAAACACATATATTAAAAAAAAAAAGATGAGACCCTTTCTTAGCACAAATCTGTAAAAGGCAATGGATTCCATAGATCATCCACATCACAATAGGATTTGGGATGGACATTGCTGAGTTTGAACTTTAAAGAGCAATTTAGGGGTTGATTTGGTGCTATAACTATCTGTGAGCATGAGAATTGCACATAATTTTAAATGCAAGAAGTCAAGTTAGCAGATTGGTACAAGTGCAGAGAAAAAAGAAAGGGTTGAAATGAACCAGGTCAGCAGCTGATGGCTAGAACTACAGGTGAAGCACTGTTTTGGGGCAGGCCACGGGAGTGGTAACAAAAAACTCTACATGACATGCACTAAACCAAGTTAACATTACTAAAGACTCTTTACACTAAGGGTGTATAGAACTAATGCAACTATGTGCCATACCATCATGACTGAATCATTTTCAGTTTCATCATCTGAGTCCGTTAAGTTTAAGGAAGCTTGGTCTTCCTCAAAGTCTTGATTATTTGTACCACCTTGACTGTGAAAGCCACTTTCTCCTTCATCCAATACCATGCCATCATCATCATCATTGTCAGTGTCAGAATCCTCCTAATCTGTATCGTCTACAATCCAAGCAGCCTGAAAGAAATTTGATCAATTGGTTAAAATTAGATCTTTAAAAACACACACATATTTTAAACTAGAGAAGTCAAAAAGAAAGACATCCCAACCTGATATTCAGAAGTGCCATGAGGAAGAAATCTCTTTCTTTGCTTTTTTTGTTTTAGGTTTCTATCAGCCTCAGCCATTTCTGCTTCTGTTGGCCATGTCTGTTCAGAAGAAAGAAGAAAAATAAAATAATGAAAAATAGCAGTTAGGACTCCATGAAAATCAAATTGCTAGATAAGGTGAAGGAAAACAATGTGAAATAATCACCTAAGGTTGGATTCTGGCAACTAGATTACCTTGTCAATGACAACTAAAACAGACTGCTTGGCAAAGAAAACAATGTGTTTTTATTTTAATCACAGTTTTCCATCCTTTTACATACTAGAAGAAAGAAAGCTTTTCTTTTCCCTGTTCTAAAAAAATATATATTATGGGGCTCTTCCTTATTAACAAGTTTAAGAGGGCCAGAACATCAACCCATAAATTAAGTTATAAAAGCTTTGATCCGTCTCCACATTACCTGTTCTCCAGCAAGAGGATCTGGAACATTTTCAACAAGTAAATGTTCCTGCTTCAACAGATCAGGAGCTCGGCAACAAATGACCTAGAATTTCAGAGAGAATATGATATATGGTTCAAGCAGTATCAAAGAGTGAAGAAGACATTAATAAGAGCTTCATCATCACTAAATCAGTGTAAATATCAAGGAAAAAAAATTGAAATATTGTCTGATGTCATGTCCACTGATAAGGTAGAAACAGTATATGAGATGCAAGGAAAAGAATTAATAACACATAAATTTAAGGCCCAAAGCTATTGAGAACATTCTGTAGGAAATACGAAGCAGCTCAAGGAGAGGAACAGAATTTGTTGGTCATGATCAAACTCAAAGTTTCAATTCCTTTGCTCATATTAAAGGAAATGATCAAATACCTTAGCATCTTTTAGTTCATCAGAATCCATAGCATCCTGTTCTTTTCTTGCATTCAGAGGAAATGGATCTTTTAGAATTTCAATTTTGGACAGCTGAAAATCCCCGCACCAGAAACATGGACCTGACATGAAGCAAAAGAAAAGCATGACACAACTTACCAGATCATCCCAGAGAGAATGAAAGTGTAAGGCTAAACTAATTACCAACTGATTCACTGAGAGGCTGTGTGCATGCATATAACCAGTGAGAAGAAGAGTACTCTTTCCTGGACTGGAATCATCAGGTACTGTAACAACCTAAAATGCAGAGGTAAATGGAATTAAACTTCAGAGGGTGTCCAGGTAAATAACCAAAAGGAAATTAATAGCAACGTAAATGGATTTAACACCAAGTAATCCCAATACCAACATGTTACTCATCTTCTCTTTATGAGAGTTAAACAACCCTCCAACCCTTTCACATTGTGTCCATCATACACTACATATAGTACAATAGGCTATAAGGCTAAAACATAAAAGTTAAAAACAATTGGAAAACTACCTCTTCTGCAATTAGATAAGGACGCTGATTTCGCCAGTGAGGTGCTGTGAGCCTTTGCTCCGTAAAAAGCCACATAAACTGTGAAACAAATGTAAATGTAAACAATGAAAAGTGCTAGAAAATAGGAATAATCAAGATATGGAAATTAGACATGTCTCATTCTCAGATATGTTGGAGCTGGAAGTAGTAAACAAGAATAAGAATCAACAAAGAAACCCACCTTGTGCAAGTCATCCTTTGTGTCTGCTGAATAGAACTTACAATCCTCAGGAAATTCAGAAGCAAGGATAGAAGTACACAACTTTTTTAACTCATTTCTCTGTTTAAGCTAAGAAGGTAGATCCTGGAGACAAATTTTTAGCCACATGTCACAACTTTCTCCACGGAAAATGCTACAAGTCCTGTGAAGGTTGGGCGATGATTTGGAGGAGAAACGGGATTTGTGAGCTTTGTTGATTTGAACTTGAGACCCTGACATGGCAGAGGATCTCCCGGAAACGTAACTGCCGGCGGCGATTTAGCTTATGACTGTTTCTGCAAAACCCTAGCTCAGAACTCAGAAGAAGAGGTGCAAAATAGCGGCAAACAATGGGTTTTAATTCAGTTATTTTGATTGGAGGTATTTGGATTTTAGGGTAATTATATTGTGCGCTCGTGCCTATTTTATGTATTAAGCAACCACCCAAGGTCATGAAAGACCGATCAAGAAATTGCGCTCATGACCTGGCACAATTCAGCTGAATGGAAGTGTTGATTTTTTCCCAGATAAAGTGTCCATGGCAATTCTATGACTTCTCCCTTAATTAGAGTCATCATCATTGCTCCTCCAACAGCCACCACAGTCCCCACCACCTTTGCTTGGCAGTACGTCCTCTTAATACCCATCTTCTCAAGCCTACAAGAAAAAAAAAAAAAAATCTTTTACTCAAAATCTTCCCTTAATGCACTCAACAACTCATAG